AAATATACCAAAATGGCCATTTTTACAAGAATTTTTGAAAGTTGCCATTTTTACAAGTGGCAAGAAGAAAGTAACATTTCATGCAATTTCCACTTTCCGTTAATTGGAGGAATTGGAATCTATTATGGGATTTGAATAAAGCTGACAATCCATGTTTGGTCAATATCTGATTTAAAAAATACAAAATGAGTAGCATTGTCAAACATTGTTATCTATTTCTTTTTCAACTTTTATTAATTTTTATCAAATTTTAGCTCCAGTTTGACATTCATTTTGGAGAAAAAATAAATTCTAAAATAATGATTGATGAAAGAATACGTGGTTAAAAAATAATGAGAATTTTTGGGTTTATGTGTAATATTATTTTATTGACAGAATATGTGGTTGAAATGAAGAAAGAGAAAAAACATGAAAAAGAGAATGAGAAGAAAATGGGTGTCAAACGGTTTTCACTAAATAAGGGCTCATGGTATATTTTTATGGAAGAGCTTATTGAGAAATAACTTTTAAAATAATTATAAAAAATTATTAAAACATGCATAAAAGAAGCTACTTAGGGTCGAAAGCATTTTTGAACTTTTCAAAAGCATTATCAAACCGACCTAAATATTTACATAACAAGTTTGCTCAATTTATAGTCTATCCATGATGGTAGTTATTCATTACGGATGTTATTTTGGTGACTTTGAGTCTAAATTTGAACTAGAAGTATAAATCGAGCCATTATATGAATGTAATTTTTAAATGAATGTAATTTGAATATGCATTTTTTTTTTTTTACAAGACGACTTATTTTACACCCCGTTTAATTCACATTCTTACAAAAATTCATTTTTTCAAAACTCATTTTCAACCACACATTTTTCAATAAAATAATATTAGACTCAAATTCAAAAAATTTCTTTATTTTTTAATTACATACTTTCCATCAAATCACTATTTAAAATGCATTCTTAACTCAATAATGTACATCAAACACCTCCTTAATTTGGTCCTCAAGCTCCCATCACATCCCGAGTTATATGCTGCAAATACTTCTTGGAGAAAGCCATAATAATTTGTTAAGATTAAACATGAAGAACTTGAGTTCAAAGTGAATAAAGTTAATTTATTGTTTTTTTAATTTTCATTTCACATTTTAGAATATTAAGCTCCATAATTTGGCAAATAATGATTTTTTGAATGGTAAATTGATGGAGAATGTGTTGTTAAAAAATAATAATTTTTTTTAGATTTATGTGAAGTATTATTTTATTGAAAAATGTATGATTGAAAAGAAGAGAAAAAAATATATTTTATAAATAATGGCGAATAAACAAGCAAATGTGTTACGCCAGACTCGGAAACATGGACTACAATGGGTTAAATCACTTTACCAAGGCCAAGCAGGCCCCCGGCCGTAGGCCCTGGTAATGTAGCATGATCGTAGTACAATAGCAAACACCTTGACCTCAAATGCACTAGTGGAACAAACATTTAATTGATGTGAAAGGACCTATTCGTCTAATTAAATTGATGGTATGGAGAAAACGAGTTGAATTGAATTACACTATTCATCTTAAGACTCAAACCATAGTTTTAAGGTTGAAATGATATTACACGTATACTTAGCCTTCATGGGAAAAAAATATTGCTTTTTGCTATCTAAGGTAGTTGGTTCCATAATCTTACTTCAACTTCTGATTTGATTGTCAGTTGTTAATTTAGGTGCTTGGACGAGAGAGAGAGAGAGACTTGCTTCAGTTTCAAATTGGGCCTCATAATTTAAACAAAAATCCCAACTATATATAAAAGAGCAAAGTTTGTTACTATTCATAACATATCATCTTTGTGTCATGTTGATGTCATATGTACTAATTTTACCTTTTTCATTTTTCCCCCTCAAACACTACGCAATTTTCTTCTCTCAAGACAGGATTTCTCCATTTCTCCACACAAGCTCCCATACCTCTTACTCATGTCTTTACACAAACAATTCAAAACTTGTCATTTCTTATTCTCTATTTACTAATTGTTGTTTAATTTCGCCTCTCTTTTCTATTTAGATTTCCTTATATCTTATTTTCCACTCTTTTATTCTCTCTCTCCTTCTCAGATCCCCTTTAACTTTTTCTCCATCGTTGTTCTTACTGCCCATTTGAAAACAAACCATGGTAACAAAATCACAAATTATTTTCAGTTTGTTCTTCTCTATGAACATAGTTGAAGGACACACATAATCAACACAAATCCATGCACAAACCACTTTAGATTATTGCGAAAAGGAAGTTAATCGTGTGTAGATAAATTATAATTTATTCAATAAACAATAATATGAATAGCATAATTTAAGATCAACTAAAATATAAATCAAAACTAGAAAAGAGAGTAAAAAAGTCACATCAAGGACATCCTTCAGTCATGTGGCCTCTCCTTCGTGTAGGTAGTAGGTACTTTTGATATTGCACAATTTCAAAATAAAACCCTTATAGGTGACAATAAGTTCTCCCTTTATGGATACGATCACAAAGAGATAAAAAACTGACATCTATCAATTTTTTTTTTAAGACAATGTAATATAAAAATGTATAGGGAGTATTTTTATGTATTCAAGTTATATCCAAACTATAAAATTCCCTCTCTTTTAGTGTAAAAATTCATCCCCACGATAATGAAATTTAATTCTTTGATTTATGAGTTACACTGTACAATTAAATATATTTTTTTATTAAATCTAAAATTTAAAACCAACACAAAACTGAAAATTAAAATAAAAGAAAAAAATTGAAAATTATGTCAATTTTCTATTTTGAAAGTTACAACAGTCTATACATTCAAAAGATTACATATGCTTTAACTATGCGAGGGCCCACCTTTAGGCCGTCCATTGCCAACAACCAGCAAATTGCTGTTAGATAGCACTTTACCTATCCTAGCTCCAAGGGGTGTAAAATTTATAGTCTGTCAAGTCGACTTCCTAACTCGGATCAAAATCTAGAGTTTTGTTACAGTGACAGGCTCAGGATTAAAAAACAGGGGGGCACGTGGCGTAACTTCATTGAACAGTTGGGGGAAAAAAACCCATATAGGTGTTGCCATTACAGTACCTATCAAAGCCCCTGTTTTTAAACCCGGTTTAAGCAGCATTATTGCAAAATTTGAAGAGGTGGGATCCTCCATGTCCTAAAAGAGAACTGTCCCTCCGTGGGCCTAACTAAGAAGAAATTACTTTGCCAATGACTATTGGAATTGGAAAAGTGAAGTGACAAATTACCTATCCTTGACCTGAAGAAAGACTTGGAGATTGATGCTTGTCGAAAACACTTAGAAAAAGTCTGACACGTGGTTCTAAGCTGTTTTTAAGAAACCAATAGAGTAAGTTGCCATACGCCAAGCATTAAGGATCATCTAACTCGGAGATGAATGCTAATCTCTTCCATCTGCATCACATTTCACAGAACTTATGTCTGATATTTAGTTGTCTTAGTTTTTTTGGATGATAGGAACAATATGGTGACAATTTATTTGAAATTCGATTGCATTTGAGTTCTTGTATCAGTGCCATGATCACTGATACAAGCAAATGGAAACACAAACAATTGAAATGTCGCGAAGGGACAATTTATCTAGTGATGTGGGCAATGAAAGAGTCCAGCTCTTTGCGAGAATCGCCCCCTTCCTCCATCGACTCTCTAACCTTAATGCCTAACTCCTCAGCCTTCTTTCTTATCTCATCCCCTTCTTCCGATGCCATCAACCTTTCTACAACATTCTTGATTGTCGATGCTTTGACTGGTTCCTCTTTCTGTGTCCATTCCCTTACAGTGATACCTACTTTGAGAATTTCTGTTATGAATATTGCATTCAATGGTTGATCAGAATGCATAGGCCATGCTGCTATCGGAACACCCATAGTAATACTTTCCAAGCACGAATTCCACCCACAGTGACTCATGAATCCACCAGTTGATTTGTGAGCCAGAATTTCAAGTTGAGGAGCCCAATCTCTCAGCACGATTCCAATTCCTTCCATTCTCTCTTCAAACCCGCCTGGCAATTCAATTCTTCTAGCTTCTCCAGCAAAGATATCTGCCTTATCGGCATCTCTCAACACCCAAATGAACTTCTGCTGACTTTCTTCTAACCCCATAGCAATGTCTCTGGCTTCTTCATTCGACAGTGAAGTTGTTGTTCCAAACGATATAAATATAACCGATTTTGGAGCCTGTTTATCGAGCCACTCCAAGCATTTGTGCTTGCTTTTTGAGTCATTAGTTGAACTCAGTTTTACTGGGAGCCTAGGTCTGATTGCCCACTGCTTCTCATTTCCTCTAATCTCTTCTCTAGCGAGTAGATCAATATAAGTACCTTCTATCCCTCTGCTGGTATTATCAATATCTCCAGCTCTATGTTTGTGATACTCAGTTTTAGATGCTATGAAATGGAGGATCCCCTCTGGATAAAATTCTTTCGCAGAAGGCAGGTTTTCTAGTTCTTTGCCTACTTCAAATTTCTTCCCTGTAAAGTCCCACAGTACTAAGAACAGATTAAAAGCTGAGAGGCAGTTGAATGCATAAGATTCTGAATTCAGAATTAACACAGCATCTTGAACTGCTTCAGCAATAAGCCTGTCATAGATAATCACAATCCTCGATGCCTTGAACGATAAATCTTTTAAGAGCGTACCAATGGGTTCACGAAAATTCATGTAGGTCGAGGTGGCTGGCCAAAGATGTACAGGCGTTTTATCAAGCGTGTTGGGGTTTGGATCTATAGCAGCAATTGGAGGAGATGGAAGATCGTGGAAATAAATTTTGGCCATTGCATTAGAATTTAGGCCATTGGCACGGAGTTTTGCCTGCCGGTTGTGGGTGGCAGAGCCGATAAAGTGGACAGGAATTCCATGATCGGATATTAGTTCAGAGAGTTGGAGAAGCTGATTGAGGTGGCTTTGGCATGGAAGCGGCACCATTATTACAGCAACCTGAGATTGCTCCATTGTTGTACTCTCTGCCTTAGATAGGCTGAAGAGTTGATCAATTTAACGATTGAGTTGTTGAATTTTTCTAACTTTGGGCAGCTCATATTCTTGGAAGCTAACTATGGACGGATATATATGTGCCAGTTCCTTGTCCTCTTGCACTCTTATTATCAGCAACCTTTTAAAATACACATAAAACCAATTATTCTATTTGACTAGATTTCATCAATTGAGCAAGTTTTCTTGAAAAGTCCGAAAGTTGACAAACAGTTCCAATCATCTAGAACCTTAAATTTATTGGTTACTCAATACTGCACGACACCCATTTGAGACCATATGGCCAGCCAACTTTTTTTACGAGACGGGTCTTGTTTGGACTCTTTATTTGACTTTTAGTGAAGGGCAGATAAAATAATTCAATAGAAAAATCAACATTTCATCTACCACATTGTACCCACACCCACCCACACTGGGCACCCACGAGACGAATGCCACCACCACAGCCACCCCGTAACGTACGTGGTGAGCCGCCGGGAAAAAAAAAAGAACTTGAAAAATTATTGTGCATGGAATAGTTGGGAAGATGGTCACGAGCAAACTCGCGTGGACGCCAAATAATAAAGGTTTAATCATCTTCACCTAAGGGAAAATGTGGTCTGTGTTTCGATCATCAACAAGCTGGTAAGTTCTGGTGAAAAAAAATGGTTAATCTAAAGATAATAAAATCTCTTTATAGTTGTCTAGCATCGAAGCTACCGAAGAAGAGAAATAAAACAATTTTCTTTTAAAAATTCTCAGTCCTACACTTGTCTGGTCTTTAAAACTTTATTTTTGTAAAAACAAACTCATTTTAACTACATATTTTTTCAATAAAATAATTTTATACTTGAACATATAATTATTCAATACTTTCTAATAAGACGTCCTCCAGAAACCGAAAAAA